TATTCTATTCTATTCTATTCTATTCTATTCTATTCTATTCTATTCTAATTCCATTCTACTCTAGCTTTGTTCTGATTGTTCCTTCCCAAGACAAACCAAAGAGATTGTCCCAAAGATGCTTTTTCAAAAGGCAACTGGACTTTCTTTGTTTTTCCTTGAAGACATTTTTCTTCTCATCCAAAAACTGAAGATCTTGGATGAGAAGCGAAACGTCTTCAAAAAACAAAAAAACACAAAAAAAACAAAGAAAGTCCAGTTGCCCTTTGAAAAAGCACCTTCAAGACAACCATGATTTGGATAATTAAGAATCTCCATAGAGACCTAACAGAAGTTAGACCAAGGGTCTTCAAACTTGGCAACTTTAAGACTTGTGGACTTCAACTCCCATAATTCCTGAGCTAACATGCCTAGAGGAGGAACTTTGGGAGTTGAAGTCCACAAGTCTTAAAGTTGTCAAGTTTGAAGACCACCGCATTAGACCCAATCAACAGCATTGGCATGGGCACCATTAATGTTCCAGACTCTAAACTCTTGAATTCCCCTAGAGCTTTCAAGCTTCTGGAAAATAAACATAGTGATAAGTAACACAGGTATTTCAGAATTTTTTAAAAAAACATATCAGATGCTATTTCACTGCTGAGCTGGGACACTCACACTGAATATTCAGGTTGATCCCACCGTAGATCTGTTGCTTGTTTGGAAATGTTGCAGTACATCGCAAGTATCTGCCATGGTCTTTGTAGGAAGGGATATAGCTAAAACTCGATTCTGTCCGCCAGGATCCACCTGTTAAATATTCTTGGACTGTGACAGCCGTGTTTCTGTCTAGATTCCAGGTGAGGATAGGTGGAGACACAGGGCAGGTGTGCAGGACTGAACAAGACACTTGGGTAGGATCCCCTTCCATCACTAGTCCCAGATCACTCAGCTCCAGCGGGTTAGGGACATCTGAGAAGGCATCAAAAGAGCGCAAATGAGTTGTAGGATGAGGGTGGATACTTACTATTTAGCCAGAATTACTACAAGTAGTCCTTGACTTATGATCACTTGTTTAGCAACTGTTCAAAGTTACGACGGTGCTGAAAAAAAGTGACTTACAACAGTCTTCACCTTTTGATCATTCCATTTGCTTAAAATAGCAAAAAAAATATTGTAAAATCAGATACAACTCATTTAACAACCACCCCGCTTAGCAACAGATGGTCTGGTCCCAACTATAATCATAAGTTGAGGACTATCTGTACAGAGAGAAGGTTTGTTATGGAAAATTGGGCTAAAATTTGTTAGTTTTAGTACTCTTTTTTTAAAAAATGAAAGACATAAAAATAATTCAGGCAATAGATATAATTTACAGTATCATCATTGTCTTTTACTGACACTATAATCCTTTGTGTGGTGGAGTCTGGGCAGCTGAATGGAGCTGAATGTTTACTGGCCGGATGCCCTTCCTGTCGCCAATGCAGAGTTTTTTTCAGCAGATATATATTCTCAGTGTGCCCAGAGAGAGAAATATCTGCCTCTACCTAGGATCGAACTCACAGCCTCCTGATTGTGAGGCAAGAGCTCCACCTCTGGGCCACCACCCTGCTCATATAATTTAAAGTATCTGAAATTTAAAATAACCTTTAGAAGTGCAATCTCTGCCAAAATAACCAAAATAACCATGGATGCAGTTTTGGTTATGAAAGAGAGGGGTGAAGCAACTTAAAGGGGACAATTGGAGCTGGTAGCTCTTCCTCTGACCACACCAGCAACCTTATCAGGACCGAAGGATGCTAGATTCATGGCAAAGATGGAGCTGGGAGAAGAAGAAAAACATGACTTTACAGTTAAATGGCTAGGCCTTCAAACCAACATTGCTTATTGGATGGGACCCAAAGCAAGCCAACTCTATCAGAGCATATTGGATGGTCAGACATTACAAAAGGCAGATAGTTGCTTAACCAGCTAATCCCTTTGACCCTAGGGCTTTATAGGTAATATCAATCACCTTCAGTCACACCTGGAAGCCAACTGGCAACCACTATAGCTTATGAGAAGGGCATTAACATGGGCAGAACAAGGCTTGGCCATCACTGCTAGGGTTGCCACGCTTTTGACCAGCTGTAGTTTTTGAATGGTTTTCAAAAACAGCTCAGAATACAGCAAATTGCAACAGCCACCTACAAAGTGACCAAGGCTGGAACAAATGTGATTGGCACACAGGTTGAACTTCTGCAGAGGTCTTTCTGACCACAGCTTCTACCTGTTCCTCAAATTAATAGGAGCAAAACCCAGCTATTTATGCAACATCCCAACCAGGAAAAGATTTCCATCCTCAGAGGAGTTCTTGACCCAAAGATGCACTAACCTGTTACCTCTACCTGGACAGTGACATCATGGAAGCGATGATTGACCGAGTCAGGGTTGATCCAGACGTAATAACTCATGGCATCCTCCATCTTTACTGGATTGATGCTGAGAGTACAGTTGCCTTTTTGCAGATTCCCCACCACTTCCGTTCGTCCCTGGTAGGCTGGAAGGACATTGCTTGGCATTTTGCTGTTGTAGATTTCAGGGTAGCTCCAGAAATGATACTGGTACCAAGCCACAGTGCTGTCCCAAGAATCCCATGAATCTGGGAAGGTGAATGAACATGGGATGACCACACAGGATCCTTTTAAGGCTTGGATGGAGCTAGGCAGAGTGGAGCTCCAGGTTGCAGAGACAGGGCTGTCAAAGAGAACTGGAAAAAAAGTTGGGAACGGTAAGTAAAAAAAAAAGAGAGAGAGGTTTCAACTGGAACTAAGATACCCCATGGCCCTTGAAGAACAGCCCTCACCATCTGAAGGGAACCCACTGTGAAATATCTTAGTTCTTCTGATTCTAGATAAGTTGGGAAAGGTGGGGGATGCATAATGAAGGAAGCATCCTACTGGAACAGATCAAACTTCTATATACTCCACCATTTAGTGGATACAATAGTCAATCAATTCTTTATGGAATACTTCAAGCAGGACCTAATCATGATGGCCGCTTATGTTTCCCAGCAACCCATCCAGAAGACCATTTTGTCCTGATGTTTTATTCTATAACTTACCTAGGAGAAACGTCAGAGGAAGATATTCATTGGACGGTTTCATGTTGCAAAAGTCTCTTTGGGGTTGCAACCTGGAGATTGCCTCAAGGGTGGGGAACGGCAACTCCCTTCTTCTGGTCTTCTTGGTCATGCACAACCAAACTCTCCAATGGGAAAATTGATTGGAAGAGAAAAAGTTGAAAAGCTGAAGGAGATGAACCAGAAACCAAAGTAGAAGATCGTTTTAAATATTGATCATGGCCAAATACTGAGAAAAAAAATGCATTCTATGCATCCTGAAAGACACTGTAGATGAAAAAAAAAATCTGCTGCCTGAAAATTGTATAGCCTGTAAGGCTTGAACCACCAACAGAAGGACTAACTCTCCACTTAGGGAAGGACAGGGTGGAATAAGCTTTGTCTGTTGGATTTCTGCCACATCAAGAATGTTGAAATCCTTCATCCTCTCTGCCATTTTCAAAAAAAGGTTTCCTTTCACTTTTGTTGCTTAAACATATAATAGTGTTGAAACACCATCAAACTCCTGGCAGGGGTTCTTCTACTCTGATGAAAGTGGGAGAAAGGATACTTACAAGCCTCTTTTCCAACCCAACCTCTTTGATGGAAAGCAAAAGTGATCAAGGAATCACTTGACCAGGCAATGCAAAATGCTGAGACAAATTTTACCTCCACTAACTTCTCTCTGACGTTCCACTGTTGATGTCCTTCTAGGGCAAGGGTCTTCAAACTTGACAGCTTTAAGACTTGTGGACTTCAACTCCCAGAATTCCTTCTCTAAGTTATGTTAGCTTCAAGAATTCTGGGAGTTGAAGTCCACAAGTCTTAAACTTGCCAAGTTCGAAGATCCTTGTTCTAGGGATTCCTGGCCAACAAGTATTGTTAATTATTAACAATATTTAATAATTAATAAGAGGTTATTAATTTCTTTTCTGAAATATGATTATTTTCCCAATGATGACCCATCCCAGCATTGGTTGGCTTGCTATTGATGCCCGCTTAAATTGTCCTGAGATATTTGGCCACCTAAGATCACATTTAAGGTGATACTCTCTCCCTTCCATTGCTAGGGTACAAAGGGATCATCACATTGTCTGAACCAAAGGATTTATCCATACAGGATGTGGTGGTACTCATTAGAAGAACTGCATGTATTTAAAGGTCATTTGGTCCTCTGTGCAAGAAATGTGGACTACAGTCATTAGAAGTAGTTTCCTGATGTGTAATGGCTACTTTAACCTTTAGTTGAGACTGCCAGCCGAGTGATGAGTAGTCTAACCTGGAGGTGAAAAACTGCAGACTTGTTCTTGAGAAGGGAGCAATGAACTGTTAAAGGAGGAGGAAAAATCAGGTGGTCTGGGGGAAGGGAAAGAGTGAGAAAGAAACTCAAAATAACTCCACCCTGGTTTTCTTTGGTATAATATGTGTTGAAGATAAATTCTAACAGAAGAACAGAAACTCGAAACACTATTATCCTATCCTACAACCCTCAAGATAGAATATGCTGTTCTTGGTTTATCTTGAAGGACTGGCACCAGCCTCACATTGTGCCTTTGTGACAATTTCATCAGAAGGTGTGGGGTTTTTTTGTGTGTGTGGGATGGAAAGTTTGAACGTTTTGCTGTATATAACCTTCTGCAGATCCTGTTCTTCGAAACATGGGAACCCATTAAAAAACTGTAACTGATCTACCATGCCAGACTCAAACACTCCCAAGTGTTTTGTAAGACTCATTGTAAGTTATAAATCCAGCACATGGTTTGCAACCTTTTTACATCTTTTCAGAATAGGGGATGGACTATTATAAAGACAGGGAGGATTCTTTTCACACTCTCAGAAAATGTCTTGCTGATCTTTTCCAAACTATGCTGAAGGTATAGCTAGAAGACAGGCTGAGTTGACTTTGAGGGGTCCTTGGTGCTCTCTGAGCTTGCTTGTTTTCTTGCAGACGTTTCATTACCTAACTAGGTAACATCATCAGGGCTAGTAAGGAGTGCTGTTTACTGTCAGTTTATATTCTGGTGTCTTGCCCTGGCGGTGTGGATGGGAACGGTCTTAAGAGATACTTTGGTTGGGCTGTTTACTGATGGCTCTTTGACAGTTTCTCAATTGGGGTACTGCTTACTTGGTTGTTGGTATGAAGTTGGTCTGACTTTATATTTATATTTGGGAGGAAAAGTGTTGTGTACTTTTCATTTCAGAGGAAGAGGTTTGTTCGTAGCAGTTCCTTTCCTCTCAGTTCCTTGGGTCAGTGATACAGGCAGAGGTGGGTATTCAGCCAGTGGTGCATTTCAAAACTTTTTACCACCGGTTTGGTGGGTGTGGCTTGGTGGGAGCTCTTTGCACGCGCACATGCCTTACTCGCATGTGTGCACCAAATGCACCCTTTGCACAGGTGCAGAGGCTTTCTGACTCAACCTTCTGCAAGCCTGCACTCTCCCGGTCGCTTCAACAGCTGCCACAAAGCAACTGCGCTTCAAAAGCAGGACATAAAGGTCAATATGAGAGCCCAGACGGGCAGGTGGGTCAAACAGCAGAGAGTTGGAACCAGTTTGGTCTCCACTGCTCATCAGCACTACCGGCTTGGCTGAACCAGGCTGAACCAGTAGAATACCACCAGTGTATTCAGCCGGTTCAGACATGTTCTGGCATACTGGTAGAAGAAATTTTGGCCAGTTGGCCAAAGCGCTCTCATAGAAACGGTAGGAAACAATTTGGAATCCTACCACTGGATTCAGGTAGTCCTTGACTTACATGTAGCGACTGTTTGAAATTGCAATAGCAGTGAAAGAAGTGACTTATGACCGTTTTTCACACTTAGGACCACTGCAGCATCCCCATGGTCACTTGATTTACATTTGGATACTTGACAACCGACTCATTTTTATGAGGGTCATGCAATCCCCTCTTGCAACCTTCTGACAAGCAGTAGTTAACGGGGAAGCCAGATTCACTCAACAACCGTGTTACTGATATTAACAATGGCAGTGATTCACTTAACAAACGTGGCAAACTCACTTAACAAATTTCTCACTTAGCAACATAAATTCTGGGCTCAATTGTGGTTGTAAGTCAAGGACTACCTACAGTCTTGTCTCCTGCCATGTCCACTGCATGTCCCTCGTTCACCTGTAAATCACAAGTTTCACTGAAGAGAAAGCTTCACCTTAGGACAAGCTCTCTATTTTCAGTTGCTTGAAATAGCCACCAACTTCCAGCCTGCACTGCAGGGGTAACGTTTCTCTCTGCTATTGAGACTCATTTGATTTTTCATCTCCTCTATCCTGAGGACCTTGACCTGATGTGTCATTTCAGTCCACATCATCTGTATCTCATCCCTCTTTCAGTCCACATCATCTGTACCTCATCCCTATTTAAAACAAGGGGACTGAAGTATCGTCCTGCATGAAATATGGCCACCCAAAAATGGGTTGCAACCATCCAGATGACCACGACCTAACCCACAAATTTTGGCGGATGATTTATATTTTTTGAAGGGCATTCATCATCATCTTTGCTTCATTAGTTTGCTCAGGATCTTGCTATAGTAGTAGCTCACCTTGATATGCTTAGTTTGGGGAGGGTGAAGAAAGTGGGTTGGTGGCAAAATTCAGTTCCTGGTGCTAATTTTAAGCGGGGCATTTGGCAAAAGGCCTTCTCCCTCTCCAAAAAAGAAAGAAACAAATGAACGAACAGCAGCAGCAGCAGTTTGGCTTCCGAATGGGACACATTTCACATGCATGTGAAATTTTGTTTCAGCTGCAGGCTCTGGACACAATTGTCAATTTGCTAATGATTGCTGTGCATGGAAATTGCTTGCAGCGCAAAGGGTGAACCTTTGCTTTCCCTCTCTCCCTCTCTCTCCTTCCCTCCCTCTTCCCCCCCCCCCCCCCAATACACATCAAGAGTAAAACCATAAACTGGGCAGCAGTAGCTACTGCTGTGTCCTGTGCTTTTCTTCTATCTCTATAAGGTTTCAGGGGGCATATTCACAGCCTTCCTCCTCCTGAAGCCACTTCAGCCAAGGTAACAGAAGTAGCCAGTCACACAATCACATTCTTTCCAAGCAGCCAACAGGGTGGACAGAAGAATGAGACTTTAACGGGGTTCATTTCCAGCATTTCCCCCCCTCACATGTATACATTTCTTCATTGCTTTAAGGTTCCATACGAATTGTTTGCTTTTGACTCAAGCATGTTCTTTGAATCCAGCCACTGTAGTTTGTAAATCATGGACTCAAGAATCCAACTACTGTGATTTATATAAATAAACTGTATAGTCAAACAAGCCATGGTTTAGCAGGGCAACACCATGTCAATTTCTACTAAACCTAAATTCTCCAGAATTTGTCAAGATTTTACAAACATGCAAGAGAAACTGGATTCTGAGGCAGCTCCCAGCCTGTACAAAATATATTGACCGTATTAAATGCCTCCACTGACATTAGATTAAATCTATAGCCTTGCTACTAACAGCAATTCTCTTTCTACGGTTGAAAAGATATCAGCCTTGCATTTAAGTTCATATTTTTGTTAGGTATAGTACCAGAAAAATATAATAGGGAATTTGTATTTAATATTACACATTTTGACGGCAGCAAGAATTGTATTTGCACAGTATTGGAAAAATGAGGAAACACCGAGAGAAGATGTAATTAAAAAAAATATTAGATTGTGTAGAAATGGATAGACTGACATGAAAGATAAAAGAAAAGGAAGATACAGAGTACTTTAGAATATGGGATTTGTTTTATAAATGGTTGGATAACAAAGGTAGACATTAGGAGCTGGGAAACATTATTATGTAAGCAATCAACCCAGACAATACACTGTTCATAAAGCACTTGTGTTAAATGAAAATGTACAAATAAACTATTTAAAAATGGTTCTGCAACCCAACAAGACAGACACAGACTTCAGAGGGTAATTAAGACTGCAGAAAAAAACAATTACTACCAAACTGCCTTCCATTGAGGACCTGTATACTGCACGAGTCAAAAAGAGGGCTGTGAAAACATCTGTAGACCCCTCACATCCTGGACATAAATTGTTTCAACTTCTACCCTCAAAACGATCCTTTAGGACACTGCACACCAGAACAACTAGACACAAGAACAGTTTTTTCCTGAACGCCATCACTCTGCTAA